TAGGGTTTTTAGGGTTTAGGGGTAGTCATAAGTAGGGTGATAAGTCCCCTAAAAAATGGGTTTTAAGTATAGATGACCTACTTATATCCCGACTTTTCACTGCCCATGAACCTCCCTGAGCGCCTTCGGGTCTTGGGGCTCCTTTTTTTGAAAAGCGGCCTCAAGCTTCGGGTTTTTGGGGTGGATCTGCAGGGGTGTTAGGGGGGGCTGACGGCGTATAGGGTTTGAGGTCCTAAGACGTAGGGTCTAGGGTTTAGGGGTAACTCGTCACGCTTTGTGATTCAGATGTTAAAGCCTGCGTCCGTGACGCCGTGCTGCTTGGCTTGGTGCCTGGGGCCTTCATGCCAGAATGCCCGATGCTCTCTTTCTGTTGTGTCGGGGGGCTCCTTCTGCACACAAACCCTTAACCCTGCAGCTCCACTCTGACTGGGCATGAACCTCTTCTCTCTACATGTGCGAGCAGAAATGCACGCAACGATCTGAACCACATCCCCTCATGAAGCCTCAACCCCCAAAAGCCCTTTATGAACCCTGCAGGCCCTGAACTGAAACCGAGAGCACAGGGCTTACGGTTAGGGTAGAACCCCCCTCTGGCATTCGCGGAACCTCTTGACTGTGCAGGTGAGTAGCTGGCACCAAGATACGTGGGCCACCCATTCCTGAGCATCTCTTCGGCTCGGGGTCTGCAAACCTATCAAACCCTGAGGGTCCATGTGCAAAAAAAATTACATACTTTGGCCCCAAAGTACCTATATAGGGACTACTTTAAGGCCAACGTACATACTATATGGGTACATGGACCCTTAGGGAAACCACACTAAACCCAACCCCCCCCCCCTCTGGTCGGGGTTAGGGATTTTAGGATTTTGGGTTTGGGGTTTGTCACACTGAGTACTTGGAGGTTCATGGGCAGTTATAAGTGGGTTGATATACTTATAACCCATACTAGGGGACTTATAACCCCACTTATAACCACCCATGCACCTCCAAGTCTGCGTTGCCATAACACTAACATAGATGCCCCCGTGTTCCAACACTGCTTAGGGCCTGCAGGATGGGGATCATTCGGGATATGCACGGACAATCGGCCAACCACCGAGACCTGGTTGACAAATCCTAAAACACGGTTTAGGGGTTTTGGGGCTTTTGTTGGCAAGGCATAAAAATTCTGTAAAATATCTACCTAGAATCTACCTACAACACCAGCAAGACGCTTGCCAACACCTTGTAGCCTTGCAGCTATGCCAGGCCAACTTGACTAACCCCTGAAAGCTGGGCAATGCAAAGACAAGCGAATCGCGCCTAAACAGCCACGACATGCCGAACCCTAAACCCGCTTCTTCGTTCAGGATGTTTTTGCGTTCTTCCTCCGAAACCTGCAAACGCTGCAAACGCCTAACCTAAACCCTAAATCCCCCAGCAGTGCACTCAAAGTCATGTGCACACAATTGGGTCCCAGATGCCCGGCTGCACGCTGGCATCAACGAAAATGATTTCGTGAACCTCCACGCTTAACGGCTGCGCACCCAACTTCAAAAGTCGCGCGTCGGCTTGGCTGAAACATGCAGTGCATTCGTGCGCTGCGGGAGCCCTCTGCAGACAGTTATATACTACAAATGGCATCCACGAATCCAAAAACGAACAGATCGTAACCAAGACAGGCGCTACTGCCGCTGTGCCTGTGTGTCGGTACTCAGCAGTACTCCGTGATTGAACAAAACGACAACCCCAAACCCTGAAATCCTAAATCCTAAAGCCTTTTATAGACCCTTCTCCCTAAACCCTTAACCCCAGACCCGTGATACACTCTAAACCCTAAACCCTAAATCCCAAACCTACCTTGAACTACCACAGCCTGCTTTGTTGCAGCTTCTTCGCGTACACCCTCACATCGACTTATTTTTTGGTGACCCTACGAAAGAGTAGGTTTTGGTAGCTTCGGGTAGTCCTACCCATAGGCCCCTAAGTAGTTCCTTTTTGCGGTTTATATTTAGAATCCCATAAGGTAATCCCAAATAGGAACTACTTAGCGCCTATGGGTAAACATCGGAATTCGTGGTCGGACCTTCTCGCCGCTGTCCGAGGTGTACGCAACCTCCAAGGTCACTGGTGCCTCGTATTCCTCCTCTTCGGAAGTGTGTATTGCAGGGGCCTTAACAACTAGCCCAGGTTTCCTTTACGGCTTCTACATATGATGGTTCAAGAACACAGAGATGTTGGGTTTAGGATGTAGTTGCCGTCATAGTTAAAACAGGGTGTTTGAGATGTATGGCTAAAGTAGAACTCTGATGGGGAACCCTACTGAATATTTAGGGCACTATACTTAAGTCCTATACTAGTGCCATGTATAAACTCTGAACAAACCTCGACTCAAGCTCTGAAGCGTAGCTCAGACGCTGAATTTATTTGTCAGAAACCGAACCTGAACTAAATACTCGACCCTGAGCCAATGAAAGTTGTAACTCTCAAGCATCAACCACACAACCTTGATTCCAAAGCCTCAAGCTTCAGCCCGAAAAATCCTAAACCCTGACATAAATCTGCAATTGAAGCTACCCATAGGCTCCATGGTAGTTTCTTCTTGGGATTACCTTATAGGATCCTAGGGTAGTGGCATAGTGGGACTCCCTTTGAACCTCGAGGGATCCGAATTTCGGGGCAGGGATCGAGCGGGAGGGACGATATTCTGACCTGCCATAGATCGTGTGAGAACTGATAGTATACCTTGTATAGGAATATTTTTTTCCGGCATTTCGGTGCAATCAGTGGCGTATGCTGCCCGATTAGAATGCGAAAGAGCCACCGCCGCAGTAAAGGGCGGCACTAACTGGCTGGCTCAGAAGGGCTCAGGTGCCTTCAGGTCGAAATCTTCGGTCTCAGTGATATGGTGCCAAGCTGCTTCGAGTTCGCACGGCAACAGGCAATGAGAATTGTCGGCCACGGCCGAAAGATCTTTGCACTTTATTGTTCGGTGCCAGTGGGCTTCCCAGCTCCCGGACAACACTGTAGGTGCTAAAGATCGGGTCCCGTGACTAGCTCTGGAGCTCAGTAGAAGCTTCCAGTCGATTGTATAGCAATACGTATGTATCTATGTACATATATGTATAT